GTGAGGAAAGGGGCAAACTCCTCCCCTGCCTGCAGGAAGTTCTAGAGCTGCTGTTCTGCTCTGGGCTGGGGTGGCCTCACCTCGAGGCTGGGGGCAGTTTTGGATGCCAAAATATAAGATCTAAAGCTCTTAGAGAGTGTCCAAAGGACAGACACAAAGATGGGGAAGGATTTAGAGGGGCTGCAGGAGGAGCAGCTGAGGGCACTTGGCTGGTGCAGCCAGAGCAGAGGAGCCCCAGGGCAGAGCTCAGCGGGGCTGCAGCTCCTCCCAAGGGGCAGCTCCGACCTCTGGGAGCAGGGACAGGACCCAGGGAAGGGCTGGAGCTGGGACAGAGCAGGCTCAGGGTGGATCTCAGGACAAGGTTCTTCCCCCAGAGGGTGGTTGGGCACTGACCAGGCTCCTCAGGGCAGTGGGCACGGCCCCAAGGCTGCCAGAGCTCCAGGAGGGTTTGGATGACGCTCTGAGGGACAGGGGGGAGTGTTGGGGTGTCCTGGGCAGGGCCAGGGCTTGGACTGGATGATCCTGGTGGGTCTCTTCTAACTCAGGATATTCTGGGATTCGATGACCAGGCAGAATTTGGCCTGGCACCACAACCACCACCTAATAGTTCTCCTGCACTAAGGAGGGAGATCTGCAACATGCACCAAGCCTCTGCAGTCAGTCTGAAACATAACTTTGCAGGTATCCAGGACTCCAAAACTACTGTTGCCCCATCATATCCTGGGAGAGAGGCCCAGGAATCCCGATACCAGCCTTTACAACAAATACAGGTGGCACAGGGAGTGCAAAACTGAGGTGCAAACCTTCACAGGTACAAAACTCAACCAAAGCACACGACGGTTCTGCAGACCAGAAACACGGTCAGCAATACTTGCAAAGAATGTGAAGGGTCAGGGAAATCATCTGAGATCTGAGCACAGTCAGGACACATAATTTGGAATCAATATAAAAATATTTTCCTCTTTTATTTTTTTCTTTTTCTTTCTGTTAACCCACCCCAGTCAAACATAATGGATTCATTTTGTTACAACTGGTGCAAAGTTGGCCTGAAGACTCACACGTGAGGTGATTCACTGAGCCATATTCTACTTTTAATACGTATGCGAGGGAGATTATTCCTGTTTTCCCACCCCAGCCACCCTCAGAAAGAGAGTCCAGCTGTTGGCTTCTCTCATGGCAAAGTTCATATTGCTTTACATTACAGTAAAAAGGCAGCTCAAAGACTTTGTTAAGTCAGAGCTGAAATTCTCCAAAGCCCCCCCAGATCTTGGGGCTTATGGCTTTCATTGAGTCATGGCCTGTAGACTTAAAGAAAGGAGCAGGAGGTCTCAGTTGTGACCTGGGCAGTGCAGGTCACTAAAATTCAGCCTGTTGCCCCTGTGCCGAGCTTCTTTTTGCCTGAATTCTGCCTTCTCTAACGTGCAGCCTCGAGCTGAAGGCATCAAAACAGGAAGAAATCACTGCTTCCCTCAGTGTTTTCTTCTTGTGGTTAATCAGACTCCCAGTTATGAATGAATGCATTATTCTAATTGGAGTTTTTGTGGTTTCGGTGCACAGACGTCGCTCCTTGATACGTTTTTATTTCTAAACCAGCCCTTTGGTTCCCAGTATTTTCTTTCCTTGGAAATATGTACACACAGCAATCAAGTCACCTCCCAATCTGCTTTCTGATAAACCAAACAGATCATGGAATGATAAAATGGTTTGGGATGGAAGGGACCTTAAAGATTATCCAGTTCCAACCTCCTCCCACCTTCCACTAGCCCAGGTTGCTCCAAGCCCCATACAACCTGGCCTTGGACACTTCCAGGGATCCAGGGGCAGCCACAGCTTCTCTGGGAAACCTATTCCAGGCCCTCACCACCCTCACAGTTCACCAGCATCCATATTCCCAGAATTTATTACCCTTAATCTAGCTATGAAGTCCCAGCTCCTGGAAGTACGTGATTATTCAAGTATTTCCACTGTCTTTTGGAAAAACAAAATTATGTACCTGCTGTATTTGGGATGTGCCTTGTTCTACCTGAAACATGAGGAAGTTCAGGGCGAACTTAAAACGTAATAATTCATGAAGGTTTATGCCTTTTAAACCAATATATAATTTTTTCTTACACCAGGGTGAGTTATCTGAAGAAAAACAATGTGACAGGATTACATAAAGAAATTCCTACTACCTCCAATTTTATGCAGTAATTTGAATTTCCCTGCGAAATAAATAGAGGTCAAATCCAAATTTACAAAGACCATAAAATTAGAGGTCAAAAATAATCTGTACCCGGGGTTATTTAACACCAGTAACAGAATACCACAAAGTGTAGATATGTCTGTTGACATTTGTGATTTTATTCCTCTCACAACAGATCTTATCCAGCTACAACTGCTGAAATAACACCTGAACTAAACATGTATCTAAATATCCGGGCACTTTACGTGAGCCAAGCTGTAAATTTCTGATATAAAAATCTGTGTCTGCAGTGGAATATTGATTTTACACCTAAGTAATGCCCCAGATTGGAGCAATCTGTAATGTAATAAAGTTATAAAAGGAATGTTTTTATTTGAGTTGATGGTTCAGCCATGTTTTAGAAGATTAAAAGATACAAAAAGAAACTGAAATGACAAAAAAATTCTCTTTAAAAAGTCTGTTTTCCTCCTTTTTATTTTCTAGAAAATAAAGCCACTTCTACTCAAGTGCCCTCTGTCCTAAGTTATTTGTGGAACTCCATGTTTTACCTAAATATTGAAAATATCTACTCAGATACAGCTGGAAGTTGCTTCATTCCTGTCATTTATTAAATAGGTTTCAGGGCTTCAGTGGATTAAAATAGGAAACCTGCTTTGATTTTTGTAGTTTAAAAATTATAGCAGTATTTTGTAGTTTAAAATTATATCTTAAAGATATAATTAAGATTTAAGTTTATCTCTCAAGATACATATGTATAAAACACTGCAGAAAAGGGAATTACTGGCACAGGGGAGGCAAAAAAAATATAAATATTTGTTCACTCTGTCAATTTTAGGAAGATTTAACTGTAGATTCTGGGTTTTTTTGATACACCCACTCCACGCATTTTATGGGGAAGTGATTTCCATAAAATATTCCATATTTCCATAAAATATTCCATATTTCCATAAAATAATCTCTATACAAACCAGGACACAGCTGAACTCCCTTATTTATCTTCTCCAGGTCTAGGAATCCAAAATAAGATCCTGTTGTTTGGAGGTTTTTATCCATCTCCTCTGCTACACAAAATTTTATACCAAATATACCCAAAATGGATCACAATTCCAAGGGAATTTTCCTTTAACTTTGCACTGATGAGAAACCAGAGCCTGATTTTGATAACTAGCAGCATCTATATAGGGGGAGGAAAAGAAATCTATGGAGAATGAGGGATATATTTGGGAAGAACAGGAAGAGAGGCGGGATCATTTGCTTTTGGCCTGGAAATTCATTCCAATCAGACCCTTGTGACTTTAAATCTGTAAAAATCTCCAATAATAAATTAATATATATATGTATTTTTAAGAAAAACAAGAGGTTATTGGCACTGGCAAGACAGTAGGTATAAGAATATCCTACTACCAATTCTGGATACCAGCAAAACTGCATGAAAATCATGGATTTCACAGGATCAGCAAGGCTGGAAGAGACCTTCAAGATCATCCAGTTCCACCATCGACCCAGCACCACCAAAATCACCCCTAAACCATTTATATCAGGGGGTATCTCCTCTGCTTATCAGTAAGGTAGGAAAAAAGAGATAAAATGGTTTTTTTTAAATGTCAAAATTCAAAATATTCTGAGCAAACTGTGAAATAGTCAAGTAACTATGAAATAGTCAAGCTAGAAGAGGCCAAGAAAAATAAGAGTTTTTTTTCCAAGACCCCCAAAAGAGTTTTGTTTTCCAAGATGACCTGTCTGGGGAGGGAGAAAAGAGAAGGAGGCTGAGATAATTCTTCCATTAGCACCACTCAGAGCAGTAAATGTGCTTCCAGGCACACCAGCCTTCCCTGAATCCAGAGAGAAAGTGGCTCTGCCCTGATGGAATCACAGAAGTCAGAACCAAGCACAGCAATGGGTGTGAACCCAAAATTCCTCGTGTTTTCAGGAGCTGTGCTTTGAGAAGACTGGGATAAACCAGCAGGGGGTGAGCTCTAAGTGATTAAACAATTATAAAAAGTGATTAAGCAATTATGAAATATATGTGAAAGCACACTGGACAGAGCCAGATTATGGCTGATATTTTAAAATTCGAAGAATTGCCCCCAGTGAAACAAAAGCTACCGAAGAAAGTGGTGCAAAGATGAGAATGACTTATTATTATAGTTCTATAGCAGTTATATATAGTAGTTATTGCACTGAAGTAACAACACAAAAAGGGTTGTGTCCATATTTATGAGCACAGCCAGGGTGACAGCAAGGCAAGAGAACTTTATTTTCCTGGAGAAAACTCTTTTTAAAGTGAATTTCTAAATCCAAATCATTTACAAACCCCAGTTCTGCTCTTCCTATGGTAGGGATCATTATGTCTGGCTTTTTGTCCAAGCTTCAAATTTAACAGTTGTTTCAAAAATATTAAAAACATCCTCCTATTTACCAATTGCCTGATGTTTTGGTGGTTTTTTTTTCCACTAAGACCATGTAGATTCAGCTGTGCCGAGTTGGGCCAACAACATTTCTGCAACCTCAGCAGTGATGACAAAACAGCAGAGATGAAATGGCCACTGGGTAAAATCTAAAAAGCTGTTTGAAACTGCATGGGCTGCATGGCATTAGAGGAATTATTTAATCTGGGGTAGCTAATTCCTTTTAGTGCAGCAACCCAAAATCCTGCATCGTGGTTTCAGCTTCGTGTTCCTCCTCCTCCTCCCTTTTTGGACATCTTCAAACAGGATAAATACGAACTTAGGGAATCATAGAATGCTTTGGGTTGGAACTCGTCTACTTTTTTTTTTTTTTTTACATTTTTCACTTGTGGTTTGATCACAGGTACCTTGCAGAAGGTGAGGATGGAGAGGCTGGTGAGCAGTGAGGACAGCTGTCATCTCATCGTGATCAGAGGGGTGGATGTACTCGTAAATGCTGTTTCCAGTGAGCTCCACCTGCGAAGGGACATGGAACACAAGCAGCTGGTTCATTTTTTTTCTGTCCTTAAGCAACCCAAGCCCTGCAGCTGGGTGACCACACACCATTTTTAGAGCAGGAGGTTGATGTATCAAACCCGTCTTCCAAATTACACCCATTAAACTCAATTCATCTCTTCTTCAGCACTAGTTAATATTGTTGTGGGAATTCCTGGTGGTGCATCAGAGACAGAAGAGCTGCTGTTGGAGAGAGCTGGGAATGAAGTGATAAACTAGAGCAGCTGTAGAAATGTTTGATCGCCCCGAAACGGGGTAAAACCTCTGGGGACGGCCTTAATGCCCCTCGAGGGGGCAGATGTTTAAAAAATAACGTTCCTCCAGGTTCCCAGAAACTCTCACCTGCGCTCAGCTGGCAGCTGAGCTCTCTGAGCCCAAACCACTCCACTCACACAATCCCTTTGTGCCTTTTCAAAGCCCATCCACCGCAGCTCCATCCGCAGCCAGGGAATTCAAAAGGCAGAATTCCACGGATTTTCACTGCTCTGAGCAAACACACGGGGTAAAGACTAGATCTGCCTGAAATATTCCCTCTTCTCCCTCGAACTTTGCTGGGGCAGGGATGGATTTCTGCCTTTCCCACCTAAGAACTGTCGCACACACGATCGAACGAGCGGCGGGCGCGTCCTCTCCGCCGACTCCTCTTTGCCACGTCTAAAACCCACCCACAAGAGTCTCCAGATAGATGCAGTAATTGATTTAAGGAGCCAACCAATACTTTGAGCCTGTGTTTTAAATTAGTGTCAGGCTGCCCAATTGTTCTGAGTGGCCTGATGTGCCTTGGGCCCCCAAGATCAGAGACAGCTGAGAGGTGAAGTAATTTAACCCATTATTCTGAGCCAATCCTGCTGCTTTGCTGAGATGTGTGAGTTGCCTTTTCTTCGGAATAAATGAAGTTGTCTGCCCCCACAAAGCAATCTTTTTCTGAAAATGTTTCTCATCCTTCCATTTTCTGCATTATTCATGGAATGTCTCTTCCCAGGACTATGCAAACTGACTTTTTTTTTGTTCCCCACCGCTCCTTTCCAACAGCCCCTCCCTGCAAAAACAAAAACATCAACACTGATTTGATGTTCTAACCAGACTAAAGCTTCACTGAGTAAGGGGGGAAAAAAAAAAGTGGAAAGGAAAGAGAAAGGAAAGAGAAAAAGAAAGAGAAAAGAAAGAGAAAAGAAAGAAAGAAAGAGAAAAGAAAGAGAGAAAGGAAAGAAAGAAAGGGAGAAAGAAAAAGAAAGAAAGAGAGGAAGAGAGACAGAAAGAAAGAAAGAGAAAAAGAAAGAAAGAAAGAGAAAAAGAAAGAAAGAAAAAAAAAGAAAGGAAAAGAAAAAGAAAGAAAAAGAGAAACAAAGGAGGGAGAGGGGAAGTGGAAGGGGAAAAGAAAAAGAGGAAAAGGATATTATCTATGTTGCTTCATTTATATAATTTTCTCTAAAAGTTCTCCTTAAAAAGCACTGGCTGCTCCTTTTCAGGACAGAAACAGGTGGGGACTTGTTACAGTAACAACCCATATTCAAGTTTTAGTGGCAGGGGAGGAAGGAGAACACACACATATCTCACTGTGAATCATGCTTGGCAATGCTTCTCTTTCTTTATAATTACAAGGGGGAAAAACATACCATAAATGTCCAGTTTTTAACCTACAGACTCGTTTAAAAATGCCAATAATTCCTGTGGTGATGGACACTTCACTGGTCAAAGCATGAAAAAAATTACCATTAAAAAAATGCACAGCTGAGGTCAGTGTTTAAACCAAAAGGAGCATCACTTATGACCCTGCTCTTATCATTTTATCCTTGGCTAACAGTGATTTTTTTTCTGAATGTTTTACCCTTGAAATTAAAGCACTTCTATCAAAGAGAATTTACCTTCCAAAAAAGTAAAAAATTCGTGGGTGGCTCTGTCTAAACAATCTCTCCCTTCAATATAAGGACTTTCTTAGCCAAAAAACCACCAATCGACCTGACCAGACACATCAACTGCAGCAAACCAAAAAGATCCCGTTGCATCTCTGCTGTCACCAACTATAATCACGACCACACCAACTCTTAAAAACTGTAACTCACGGGCATCTCTTGCTTTTCCCCAAAATCATCACCTGATTTGAAAAGGAATCCTCATGGAAACACAGGCGGGATTCAAAGGTCGCGGTTTTATCCGAAAAGCGTAATTCCCATCCCGGTATAATTTGATATTTAAAATTCAAACCTAGGATGTTTTGTCTGAGCAAATGACCAGTTTTTCCTCGTTTTCCACACACGGAGGGATATTTTTGGCTCCAGGGGCGTGTTTTGCAACCCCGGGGGAAACCAGTGGGAGGCGAAAACGTTCGACGCCCGAAAACCAAAATTGACTGTAAAAAATTGGGAGTGGAAACATAAAGCCACCAGTGAAGAAATGAGGGGGGGAGGCCGTGTGAGAGTCAAATAACCCAAATATGGATCCATAATTTGGAAACTCACCACAGGCTCCCGCTATGCAAGAGCACATTTCAGGCCGTTTTAAAGCCTGCAATGAAACGCTGAAAACTTTACCAAAAAAAAAAATAAATATACAAATTATATGGTTCGATTCATAAACCTTCTAAAATCCCATGCCTTGGGCTTATTAAACCTTGATGCAGCTTTTTAATGTCTGTAAATACCTGCTTACTACCAAATATCACCATTTCCTACTAAGTGGGTTTTTATGTGTAACTCAGCTGCATTTTTTTTTCCCCTGCCCAGGAATGATCCATAATAAACACAGAGGACTAAGTGGATGGATTCTAGAGCAAATAATTACATGTTTTGCCTTTCATATACTGATTTGATGGAGGTAAAACAAGCCCCTGGAAAAGTTCAGATGTTTGTGGTTAAATATTTCAAGATTTATCCAAAGGCAAAGATAAGCTTGGCTCCCTCGTGGGTCCAGAAAATGGGTGGAATAAACTCCAGACCTTCGAAATAAAATAAAAATGCATCGTTCACCATTGTTTCCTAAGAGGATTTTCCTCTCCATTTTGTGTCTTTGGACTCTAAGGGGAAAAAATATTTGGGGAATTTGAAACCTATTTGTTATCCACGGAAAAAAAGAGGCAAGGAATTGGCTGCCTCAACCAGCACAAAGTCAGTTCATCACTGGTCTGAGGCCAACTGGAATTAGATGGAGGAGGGGGGTCCTAATCATCATTATTTACAATATTTACTGTTACACTTGAGGGCAAATCAAAATCCAAAGCCACAGACTAAGTGGCAGACCCCCAAAATGAAGATGTAGATTTTTCAGAAATCCTGTTTCTGATCATCTGCGGGCAGAACTGAGCAAGGTCCTGCTGTAAAACAATCCTCAGCGTTGTTTTGAAAGGTATAACCAGTTTCACCACACCAGCCAGTGAAGCTCTAATTTTTTCAGAAACTCTAATTTCTCTCTGCTGGAGTAAAAATTCAAGATCAACCAGAAGATAAAGGCGGCTGTCACAGGTCTCCAAAAATATCCTGCAAAAATATTTTGAAATGGCCTTTTTTATTTGCTTTAAATACACATATATTTTAAACAAATTGCAATTTAACTGGAAATTAGATGTGTGGACTAGTTAATTGTCAAATTATTTAATAAAAAGGCCTTTCTGTGCCCACTCTAAAAGATTCTCTACAATCACCATCACTCTGCTCTCAGCTTGTATTGGCTGGAGCTCTGTAGGAGCACTTGTTGAAAATACAGTGTGGGATTATAACTCGCAGAATTTACTTCTCCTGACTAATCCCATTCTTGTTGATGTCAGTGGCAAAATTCCCAGTGATTTCCAGAGAAGCAGGAACAAGAACTCCTTTAGAACCCTGGGAAGCTTGCAGGAATATCCCAGTGTTAGTGTATTCATATCCTGGTGAGTAGGAGCAGCCTATTAATGTTGATGTTAATATTAAAGTTAATGCTACTTAGAGCAAAATTATCCTCTCAAAAATAGAATATTGACACACAGTAACAACAGAGTAGATGATAAATCAATATAAGAAAAGGGGGGGGGAATCACTGCCTTGTTTAGCGGGGGGGTCTTATTTATATAAATAAAACCCTGTGCACTGTGAAATTGTGTGTTTTGAGAGTCTAAAACATGCCCTTAAATTTCACATCCCTCAATCCTTTCCAGGATGCAGCTCATTTATTTATAAATACCAAACTTTCAAGGATACAGCTCGTTTGTTTATAAGTATCTACTAAAGGGAAAAGTTTGGGATTTTGCTCATTAAACTTGACCTCCAAAAGCAACGTGACCAAATCCTCCCATTTTCCTCTTGGAACTGGGGGGTTACAGATATTTCCATGCCCGTGGAATTCAGTCAGTGCAGATGGCCAGGAGGGATAAATAGGACTAAAGCCCGTGTGATGCTCCCAGTCCCCTCTCCTTGCTTGTGGCAAAGTCTCTTTAGTGTCCCACTGATCCCATAGTTCTTTAATTTCACCAGATGAAGGGATAATACTGAGACCCACAAGATCTGATGACTTGATATCCCTCTGAAAGAAAGAACTGGGAGCGTTTCCTCGTCACGTTTTTAAAGCTGGCATGAAAAAAAAAAGTACCTACGCAGACTATTTGTTTTCAAAACTACTTTTTCTAAGGGTATTAGAGAAACAGGGCCTTAGAAATGGTGTTTATGAGTTTATATATTTGCTTTTTCTCACCCTTTAGAGTTCTATTTTCTCCCACGGCTACTGATTCAAATATCACGGTTATAAACACACACATTCAAAGAACTCCACGTTTTTTCAATTAAAAATATTAGTTACTACCAAGGTTAAGTACACATACAATCCCCACCAGTCAAGCCCCCTCCCTGTTTATTGAAATAACCACGGGGCATATTCCCCAGGTATTTTCAGAACATCCTGCTCTCCCTCACCTTCACCTCCTCATTCTTCTTCCCTCTTCTATTTAGTCTTTATTTCACTTTGTTTAGCTCTGACAAGTGTTTGACACACTGAATTTGTGATGAAACGCTTCTGTTTCTTGCAAGTCTCATGCAGGGCCCAGTGAAATTAATTGGGAATTTTTCTGTTGGCTTTCAGCAAGCTTTGGGTCAGGTGCTACCAAGGAATTTCTGTAATACATTTACAGACAAAGGTATGGAAACTTGCCTTCTGCAATAAATTCGGGCTGTTTGCCCTCGTGCCTATCCCAAGAAGGCCAAAAAAAAATTAGAAATGTCCATCTAAGAAAGAAAAACAATAAAAAACCCCTTATGCTCCTTGTGCAGAACAGTAGTAAACCGAGTTTTATGAGTTCTATCACGACCATATAAAACGCTTTACTGAAAAGACCACTGAGCTGGAAAAACTCAGGCAAAACTACCCTGAATTCCATGTGAACACTCATAAATCTGCCCCCCTTTTTCTTTCCTTTTTTATTTTTTTTTTCCTTTTTCCTAAAGCACATTTACCATAAAACTCATGTTCCACATCAGATTTCCTCTCCATTTCATAGCAAGTCTCAATATCTTACACAATCTAAAACTTACAGACTCGGGTTCTGAGCTTTATTTCAGAGTGATTGAGTTACCACGCAGGCAGGAGGGTTGGGTTTCAAGCCCTGTATAGATCTGCAATTTGCAATATCATATTATTTATTGCCCTCCTTAAAAGGTAATGAGGAGTAAAATACAATGAACAAGAAAAGATATAAAGACAGTCATGATGTGGCTGTAAGCAGAGGGAACTTGAATATTTTACTAAGGGCACTTTCAGAGGAAAAAAGTCAAACCTTGAAATACCCCTAAAAAAATTATATAATGGTAAGATACCAGTGTTAGGTTCAAAATTTTTATTTAACAGCTGATTTAACACATCACTCATACCTGAGATAAGCCAAGATGCACAGATGCTGTTTCTGAGATGTACATTATTTTGCCATCTGATGCCACCACGAAAACAAAGCCATCCAAAGTCTGAAATGAAGGGAAAGACGGAGGGTGAGAGACAAGCACTCTGGTTAAAGCATTTACAGCAAAAATAAAAGAAAACAAAGGAAGATTTCCATCAAGAGCAGCAAAATTAAAGGAGTGGAAACCTTTCTCTGATGCTGCTCCTTCAAACGTTGGTTGTGAAATCCAACTCATTCCCCCGCAGATGCAGCTTTACTGCTGCACTTCCAGTGAACATTCTCCTGTTGATTCAGGCTATTTTAGTGCTTAGCACAAATCCTGAGCTATGTGGTGCTTAGGGGAAGTCTAACACTACGTGAGCCATTTTTTATGGCATAATTGGCAGACACAGCCCGCTGCTCTTTGCAATATATTTCAGGATGCTGTAAGTAAAGCTTTAAGTCTAACTGTATTTTCCAAAATGTATTTCTGAACAAGAGCTGTCTGCTCTCTTACTATGTGAATTTCCAAAAAGGAAGCAGAGTAAATCAGCTTTCAAAACTTTATCACACTTGAAGAGAGGTATTTGTGCTGATGAAGTTATATCCTTGCAGTCTGGCAACCCTGACCAATGGAATACTCCATGAATCCAATCCAATCCTACAAATTCTTATTGACAGGATATTGGCTGGAAGGTAAATATTACTTGTGTGAGCAAAAAGTGAAGTGTAATTTAGCCCCGTATCATTCATACAAGAAAAAGAAAAGTGATGCAAGTGGTGCAGCTCAGCAAAAATGACCATGATTTGGACACATTAATTCTCAGTTTGGGGAGACTTTGAGGTTTTTAGTGCCCAATTTGAGACATTTTTTCAAAAGTATCTGATATTCTCAGTTGAACACTCTCCATTAGTGTAGAAAGCTTTGATCAGCACATACGTATGAACATCACAGGAAAATATATTTGGAAGAGAAAAATCATTTTTACAGCTCACAGATAAAAGAACCACCTATTTTAATTCATTTGAAGTTACTGAACCAGAAGAGAAGCAATAAAATTCTGTATGCTTCTTGCTCTTATAGTGCCACCCCAATAAGAAAATATCCCAAATTATTCCCTGGCCTACAGCATGTAATTGAAACCAGATTGCTCTTTGCCTTTATTTCCCCCCTCCCCTTTTTTTTTTTTGAACATAAATTAAATTTTGTTGAAGGATCATAATGGGAAACAAATTATTGCACCCTTAGCCATAACTTTGCTTTTAAACACTGTCATCTTGCAATGGCTCTACCCAGTGTCACCACTAAACCAGAGTCAGTGCTGCTGTTACTGCACCGTGTGGTGCAGCAGGTCCCAAAATTTTCTGTGCAAGAAAAGCACATTGAAGCTGAAATTTCACCCTGGAAAGTTTCATTCTAAGAACGAAATGAAAAGGCTATGAAATAAAATTAAAAGGTTTACTGTAAATGTGGGTTTATTAAAATGTGAAGAATACGTCATCCAGCAATAACTGAACTGTAAAATGAGTATCACAGGTGAACAGTACATAATTATTTATAAGTTCAATTAATGCCAGACAAAAAGTGGAATAACCAGCAGGGAGGAGAAGTGTAACAATGGTTTGTATGAATAGGTATATATTTTAATCTATACATTATATTATGCATGTATAATACTATCCATAACTAGATATATATTTTCTAGGTGGACCAGTGATGGTGGAACATATGGGAGGGCATCACCCACTCAGAACAAAATTTCCAAGGCTAGAAATGCCTCCCCAGGAGGTCATTTGGAGCTCTATCCATCCCCACTCCCTGTACGTGGTCAGCACCTCACCCTTCTAATCAGCCTCCCCAAAACGCTCTTCCTCTTCCCCGCAGAAAAGATATTTTGCAGGGGCTGGGGTAGCAAATAAATAACTGCGCGCGTCATTTCCAAGGTCGGGGGACCCGGCGCAGCATTCCCAGCTCTCCCACCCTGCCACAGCTCGAGCCTGGGGACAGGGACACAACGGGGTGGGCAAACCCTGGCGGCGGCACCGCGGGGGGAAGCGGCCAGGGAGCCCGAACAGAGTTTTTCTGTTGAGGTTTTTTTTATCCCCCAGCCGAGCGAACGGTTAAAACAGCTCCAGCTCTGTGACCAGGAATTAACCTCCCACAATAAAACCCGCCGTTAAATGATTACGGTTTACTGGCTCTTTAAAATCGGGGCAGAAAAAAAAAATAAGTTCACATATATTAAAAAATAATTTTAAAAATGGAGTTAAACGCAATTTGTTTTTTTTTCCTCCCCCCTCCTGCTGGAACGCTCGCCCCAGCTACGACTTCCTAAACTCTCCTGGAGTTCAGAGGAATTCCAGAGCAGATCAACGGGACTGTGAACAACGGTATTTTCAGGTGCTAACGTCCACGGGAGATCCGATCCAGGTGTTTCCCTCCCTCGGGAGCCCTGCGCTCCCTCACAGGTTTCCCCTCCCGAAATTCCCGGTGTCCGGCGCCTCTCCAGACAAACCCCGTCGGCGCTGGCCGGGACCTGCCTGGGGACATTCCCAGCAGATTTAAGGTGCCCGATTAACGCTTTTAGGGCTGGGAGACACTTTGCGTTCACAGAGGCGTGGGTTCTGCTAACATCAAAAGTAGTAGTAGTAATAATAATAATAATAATAATAATAATAATAATAATAATAATAGAAGTGGTCGGTGTCTCGGTTTTCCTCTCCCCCCAGCCCAGCGAAGCTCGGGAATAAGATGAAGGCTTCACCCAGGCTCCTGTGGCGGTGCGGGGGTGAGGAATAAGCGGAGGAGGAGGAGGAGGAGTGGCGGGAGGCAAATCCCACCGCCACACCACGTTCCCGGTGCGCGGCGCGTACGGGAGGAGGGAAACGTCCACTACCTGAAGCAAGTGGGATCCGAGCTCCATGGCCACGTTATCCAAGGGGCCTATCCTGCTCGGCTGTCCCCAGGCGTCGCCCAGACCTGCAAGGGAAGCAAGGAACTGGTTAGAGAGGGGAGCCCGTCCCTCAACCCCGCTGCCCCCAATCCGCCCTCTCCCCCCATTCCCCCGCCGTCCAGGCCGCGACGGGGGGGATTAAGAAGGTTGGTAGGGCTGAGTCCCTTCTCCACGCACACGTGGGAAGGAAACTGCGCTTTCTCCGGGCAAGGGAACCCCTTCGGACGCCCTTTCTCCCTCCCCGGAGAGCCCTCGGTCCCCAGGGAGGCGACGGCCCTCACCGCTCCCCATCGTCTTTCCAACAGCACCGTGCCCGTCCCTCCTCCCCGCGGAGTTGTGACCGGCGACCCCCACGCTGGCCAAGGCGAGTCCCGGCTGGGGAAGGGGCTGAGGAGATCAAAGGGGTCGGAGAGAAACTGCCCCGACGGGCCCTTCACCTGCGCTCGGACGGGACCGACCCACTGGCACAACTTCGCCCCCACGGGCCCGTCGAGCCCCGGCCCCGCTGACCCCACAGCCCGACCCGATTAGAGGGAGTCCGGGCGCCCGGCACTGCCTCGGTGACAGCGAAAAGTCATTGATGGAGCTGGTTTGGGAGCGCTTGGGGCGAGGAGAGGGGCTGGGGTGGGGTTGGTTTTTTTTGTTGGATGGTCGGGTTTTTGTTTGTTTTTCATTTCCTCCGTGCAAAGAAGGCTTACACCGGCTCCCCGCTGGAGCTGAGACCACCCCCAGAGAAATGAATTAGGTATTTTAGGAGGTTCGCAGAGTGCCAGCCGAAGAGCTGGGCGCTCACGTTGGCAGCTGATGGCAGACGTGCCCCTGCCCGAAAAGGCGCACAGATGGAGGGGAAGGGAGGGACGCGACCGCATCCTTTCAGTGCCTCCTTTTTGGGGAGAAAGAACAGCGCGGCTGCTGCGAGGCCACGGAGCCCTCAGGGCGCTGCGGAAGAGGGTGAGAGACAGCGATTCGGTGCTGCCAGCCCGGCGGGACCGTGAATTCCACCATCGCCCCGGGGGTCCCGTCTGGAGCGCACACGCGTGCGATGGATGCGCAGCCCTGCGACCCTCAGGCTTCAGGGTCGCTTCAAACGTGTCGTCGTAAAACGGAGCGCTGTATTTTCCTCCGGTGCCCTCTCACCGCCCAGGGGCTTCCAAAGAAACCTCCCCTCGGACACCGACGGGGACAAAGGCGGCTGCGACGGGACCCCAGCCACGGGAGGGAGAATTTGGCACCCGGGCAGAAATCCCTGCGTGATTCTGAACGCGCCTCCTGAAGCCCTCACGGACCCGCGTGTGCTTTGGCCACTTAGACCTTGTCTGGGAATGATGGGAGACTTTCTCTCCGCTCTCGGGGCGTCCCTTGGGATGGACAGGATCTCCCGCTGGAGGAACACGGGGAGGATGTGCCTCAAAGCTGTGCTTTCCCCCGAGTTTTGCCGCCCTTCCCTGTGTCAACCGAGCCTGGCCCCGTGTCCCGCTCCCTCCGGGCAAGCACAAAGGAGCCTCTGAAGCCACGCAGGGAACCACAGGGGACCTTGGCCGGCCCTGACACCTCTGCTCCGCCGTCTCAAGGCAGTAGCAGCACCCAGGGTCATTCCCAAGAAGTGGCGTCTGCATCCCCATCCCGTGTCGGCGGATCTCTCCAAACCCCCGGAGTTCTCATGTGTGGCTGCCCTTCCCTGTGGGCAGGGGAAGGACACCTTCCCTCCGCGCTGGGAAATTTGCTTGGAAGAGCCAAACGAAAACTCGCGCTTTTCTGCGCCGCTTCCCAATTCTCCTTCAGGAGAAGGCTCCCGAATTTCCAGAGACACGTCAAAACGTTCTTTGTGCTGAAAAGCTGCTTCCTCTGGGGAGGAAAGTTGGGGGATCGCAGAGTCATCCTGCGGTTTCTTTCCCGAGACAAATACAAACGACAGAGCCTGTCCAGGTGCCCTTATTTCGATTTACTAATTACCAATCACAAAGCACGGGGTTGTAATACCGAAAAGGGGGTCACACCTGGTGGAGTAAAAACTGTCCGGAGGCGAGCTCTCACTTTTCGATGGGCGAAGCAGATTTATTCCTTTGGCCACTCACGCAACTCATCAAGAACGAGCCGTGTTTCTACCTCACACGTGCGTGGCAATTCCCTGCGTCCTGTCCGTCACGGCAGGACAGGTACCACTTCATAGCATCCCCCCAAACCTGCACTAGTTTTCAGGTTCTTTCCTAGCCCGGACTAAAACCAAAAAAAAAAAAAAAAAAGTCGCTTGGGCGGATTTGTTCCCTTTGAAATTTTCAATTGGAGTTGCGATTGCGAACTCGCACCAAACGTAAACACGTTTGGTGGATCAGCCTGGCATTCGTCTAAACTTATTTTAAAGCCGACGATTTTATCATTTAATCCACCGGCAGATCGCTTTAAAGGTGGAAACGAAACGAATAAAACCTGCCGTTCAAATAAAGGGCTGACGCCCATTAACTCGTCTTCCGAGAGATTTGCAAACGCGCCGCGTTACGTCCTGTAAACATATGGATGCAATAGAGTCCTGCCCAGCCAGTAAATAACGCACATTTTCACTCACTGGCCTGGAGCGAGGCCAGAATTGCTGCCGATACACAGAGAGCCTTTCCCACATCGCTCCATCTCGGGGGGACTTTGCTGGGCTGACCCCGGCCGGGAGGGGACCCCCGTCGGGGCGGGCTGCCGGGGGTCAGACACGGCTTTGCAACCCGCGCCGCGCATTCGTTTCGAAGGAAATGTTTAAAAACGCCCCAACGCGGCACGAATTAAGCGCTACCCCGGCCCAGAAAGCGATTTCCCTGCAAGCGAGTGGCTGGAGCATCCTTCCCGCGAATGCTGGGAACGCGTGTGGAGGTGGTTTGGCCCCAGGGTGCAACCCCTTTGCGGTGCTGGAGGGTAAGGGATCGCCTAAATCCAGCGGCTTGGTGCGATTCCCGGCGCTGCGGGTAGAGAAAAGCCCGGAAAGCCTAAGCCGGGCTCAGCGGCAGAGCCCGCCCCGGCCGGCGGGGCTGGCACGGCCAGGAGAGGGTGACTCGCCAGTCCCAAGCTCAATCTTCTCTTCCTGGCACCCCCCCGTCGGCAAACATGGATGAGAGGAGCCTCTCTCCCTGTTTACCCTGCTTTTACTGGTGTCTGTACCGGTGTCTGTCCCCGCCGGGACCAGGGCCGCGCTGGGAGGGCAGGACGGGCACAGTGGGATGCCTGGCAGGGGAAATACCGGCCCTAAACGCAGTTGTGCCCGTCAGCCCCCTCCAGGCGGCAGGTTGGGCTCCGACAACGCCGTCCCGGACACAGAGAGGGGGTTTTGCCCCGACACCCCAAAGTTCGTGCCGCTTTTGCCGTTGAAAGGCGGGGGTTCTCATACGAACGCGCCCCCTTCCCTTTGGCAAACCCGGGCACGACCCCCCCCCACCCCTCCGTCTTTTGCCACCTCTGGCTGTTTTTCAAAATACCTCAACATTCACTTTGTACCATTTCCCAGTTTCCAGGGAAGGAGGGAGTGTGAGTTTAACTGTAATAAGAGCTAGAAATATTTGGGATCAACTCCCACCTTCGCTCTCCGCACACATAAATTCGTGCGCGCACACATTTGAAAGCCCGGTAGCTTTCCCGCTCGGGATTCTGCTAAAAGAATTACTTTCGCGATGTATTATGTTAAGTATCGGGTTGCCCTGTAACTTGGAGTATTTCCTTTGTGTCTGCTGGGCTGTTCCCCGGCTCTCCCGGAGCGCACGGTCCCCCCGCCTTATTCAATCGCCATCCTTCACAAGGAGCCTTGGGTCAACTACAAGCTCCGGGGGTTCGCCGCCTCTCCTGGTTTTTGGGTTTTATTTTTTCCCCAGCGCGGTTGCGCCTCGCTGGGCCGGGAAAGAGAAATCACCGCGGGGGCGGCCTCTAGTTTATATCGAGCTTTATCTCCCTCTTTTAGTCGAGGTCCGAGGTTGGATTGGGCTCTCGTGTCACCCCATGGTGTAGGGGAGGCAGCGGGGCGGGGGGCACAGATGACACTTTGCTTTAAGCAGCGAGGTATCTCAGCCCCGACGGCACTGAGGGTCGCACTGCTGGACCCGAGGGGTCGGGGCGGCTCTGGAGCCGACAGGAATCGGCTGGAATTCCGGCGGGAATAACCTCTGCTCGCAGAGGGGAAGCTCCCAGGTCGGGGTGGCTTTGGGAAGGAGCAAGGGCTGTTTTAGTCTAAGCTCGGCAGGGATGTGCCGGGCGCTCTGCGGGCATGAGCGTCACCGGCTGGGAGGTGGGAACGACGGACGTCAAGATCAAGTCTTTATTTTTTTTAAGAAAAAAAACAAGGTCAAGTCCAAAGGGGAAAAAATTTAAAAAAAAAAAAAAGAAAGGAGAAAAAACCGAAAAAAACCCCAAACACAACAAAACTGCTCTCCAGGACGCCCGGACAACCCCAAACCCGGCTCTTCCCACCAAGCCAAAAACGCCAGATCGTGATAACAGGCCCCAAAGCGGGGTTACTACAGACAGCGACATCCCGGGCGGACCCGCAGGTCCCACGGCAGTGACCCCCGCCCTCCCTCCTCCCCCTCCCTTCTGTCCTCCCTCCTTCCCTCCCCGCCGGCTGGGAGAGGCCGGAGCGACCCCGCCGCCCGTCCCCGCAGGGCCGCCGGCTCCCGCCGCCCGGGAGCGGCCGCGCAGCTCCGGGGAAGCCCTAAAAAAGCACTTTTGTTTTAGTAAGACCTTTAATGTCACTATTAGCCGTTAGTACAATAGACGCTCGCTTTCGAAAAGGGATTACTCACTCCTCGGGCTTTATTTATTTATTTAATTCATTAACGAACCTCTTGCGAGCGGGTATGAAAATCAGATGAAACAGCTGAGATTCGCCTTGATTTTCTTAAAATACACATTCGTGGGTTAAATGAGAACAGAAAACTCAGTATGTTCGTAATAATTTCTATTGTCTGCGTCTCGGAATAAGAAAGGTCTAAGATCTACCGCTCAGTCGCTTTATTCAGATTATTTTGTATAGCGCAAATTATCTTTTGGGTCACATATTAATTAGCTCTCTCTCGTCCGGTTTAAACAATCATAAATGTCCAGTTTTATAATCAGTTTTGGATACTGCGTTGGGGGTGGGGGAGGGAGAGGGTGACGATTTAACCAGTCTGCCATAACCGGCGGGCAGAGAATCGCGGATTTTAAGCACGAGTTATTCTCGCCTCTTTCTTTCATTAGCTCATTTTCAGCGGGAAAAAAAAATAATAAAAAATGCTGACAGTCAAGACAGGAGAAATTCCGTGGTGTATTTTTGTTCTACAGCAACAAATGCCTTAGCAAAAAAAAAATAGAAAAAACCAAAACCCGAGAGAAGACGGTGTCGCAGAGCGGGAGCGTGGGGGAGGCTGTAGGTTGTGTCTCCTGACTTTTAACTCCTCAATCTCAAGGTCGGAGCGATACCGCAGGGCACAAACTGTGATATCAGAGCACGAAACTGTGCCTTGCAAGTCTCGCACTCTGAGAGGTGAAAGGAACTGGGGTAGAAATCCCCTTTCTCTCTCGCTCCTTGGAGTCTGACCGGGCGCCTCTGCGGGAGGATCTGAAAATTCAGCCCATAATGTGCATCTTTGGGAAAAGCCTGGCCGGGGTGAGCAGGAGACCTGCCTGAACCATTTTACAAGCCTTATCGAAGCGCTGGGATCTATCACCTCGCTGAGGGGCTCAAACTTTTCCTAAATTATGTTTCAACTCGCTCTGGAAATAGGGGGGGTAGCCATCGAGGTTTTTAAAAGCACAGCCCTCTCTCTCTCTCTCTCTCTCTCTTTCCCTCCAGTCTAGACAGAGCCTGAAACCAGGTTTGTAGCTGTACAACGTTTCTGATCGCTCTGACCTCAGCTAATCCAGGCCTAGCACACAAGCTGGTGGCCTCTCAGGCCTGTCCCCCCCACCCTGACACCCCCTTAAGCCTGACGGGGGTGATGCCACCGTGAGGGCCGGGGTGCCCCCACTCCTCGGGGCAATTCCTGTGGGAGCGCGGGCACCTCGGCTCCGCTGCCCCGGGAGCAGAGGCCCAGAGGGAGCCTGTTCCGTGCCCACCTTTATTTCAAGCCCCAGAACCTCGGTGCCCCCCACCCATCGGGTCCAGCGCTCTCAAAGGGGCTCTTTCCCCAGGTCTCGATGCCCCAGGATTTAAGACGTTGTACCGAGAAGCCTTTCCGGGCTGCCGGGCTCCCCGTTCCACCTCACAGTAAAGCCAACTGGAAACCAGTAGCCGAGAATGAGGAGGGGAGGGACGACGGATGGACGGACGAATGGTGACCCCTCTCCCCTCCTTCCACAGGCGAGTCCCGAGGGAGAGGGAAGTTGGGGTGACGCGGGACTCTGCCATGGAGCAGCCCCCCCAAAAAAGCGCCCTATTCCAGCCCTTGGGGTCCGGGCACTGCCCGCAGCCGCCTTTCCCCGCCTCCCCCTTCTCCCCTCCACCCTCCCAGGCACTAAACGCTCGGCTCGGGGACCGGAGGCGCTTATTCCCCCGGCCTGTCATCCCTGGATGCAAAGCTTTGGTTTTAAATGTATTTCCACCCGCAGTTAAGACGATGAAAGATCAGGAATTCGCTGTATGCATTTAAACGTTGCCCTTAATAAGCAGAGTGTGCGGAAGCGCACGCCCGGCCTGTTTAAGGAAGACAGACACATAAAACACACCCGAGCCGTGGGTATAAACCTGCTCTCGGGGTCGTCTCGTTGCTCTTGAGGATCAGTAGGGCTGGAAAAGCCGGGACACATCCAGCAGCGTCTCGAAACGTGCCACTTTTCCTCCCTCCTAAATCAAAGGCGTTCGGGGGCACGTTCCCCGGGGCAGGGGCGGCGAGCGACCCCCCGAATTTACGACGCTCTGTTTCTCATCGGGGAAATTTCCCGATGGGGGATAATGGCTGGAAAATGCAGCGGAGCAGCGCCTCGCTTCCCTTTGCTCCGCTAACTCGGCGTGCCTCGGGAGCGCACGCTGAAGGAGCCCTGGCTTTCCCTAGCGCGGCCAGTCCTTGCTCCCGAAATTTCTGAATTAGATGGCCATAACGGTAAGCTTTGTTCGGGTTGGGAGGGGGGTTTTATTCCTCCCCCAGCTCCCTTCCCCCCTTTTTCTTTTTTTCCCCCCCTCATCCTTTTAATAAAGCTCCTTCCAAACCGCGACGGAGAGCAGACCTTCCACTCCGGAATTCGCTAATTCCTTCACCCTCCTCCTAGTCCGGAGAGGCACAAACAAATGACAAAGGCGGGGAGCCGGGCTTTATTTAGCCACCCGCAACCACTTAACCGGCGTTTCATTTCACGTCTCCCATCAGCTCGGCGGCGGCACGGACAGGACGGGCGGCCGACGGCTCCCCACGGGTGCCGGCCCGCTGCCTCCCCTCGCCCCAAAGGCGGCCCCAAAGGCGCTCGGGGGGACGATGCGAGGCCGGTTTCCACCAAACCCCCGGGGAAGGAGAGAGCCGTGCCAGGTCTCGCTGTTGGGTGTCTCCGAGAAGAGCCACCGGAGCCGCGGGCTCAGGGCCGGGGAGCAGCGGGATCCCGACCCCGCTCGGGGCCAGGCTGGGCTCGGACCCTCCTTCCCTTCTCTCCTCGGCCCCGGGAGAAGGCGGAGGGCCTCGCTGAGAAGCCGCCGCGCCTTACTTCCCACCCTGCTTCCCTACCTCCAGAAAACTCCAACCAAAACAAAATAATAATAACAACCACACTAGATTTTTTTTTCCCCCGAGGCCGTGCCTGGACGCCGAGCCGAGGGGCCATCCCTGGGGGCCGCCCGGGTTCCTCCCGGGGCTGCAGGCGCCGCTGGGGCCGAGCCGAGCCCACTCCCCTCGGAACGGTCCCCCCGAGCAAACGGAGCTGAACCGGCAGCAAAAGAGGAGGGGGAGAAGGGAGGGGGATTAACCGGGCGGGTCTGGCCCCCGCCACAGCCGTTTTTTGGGCAGCGCAGCTCTGCCTCCTCTCCCGAGGCAGGCGGGCTCCTTTCCACCCAGGGCGGCTTTTCCCTCGATCACCCCTCTCTTGCCACCCGGTTCTGGGACCCCTGCAGGCATCTCGCCCTCCTCCCAGGACGCTGAGGCGATGCGGGCTCGTCTCGGGGTGTGTGCCCACCCCATCACCCCCTCCTCGCTCTTTTTCGGTCCTCGGGGTCCCCCGTCCCTCCCGTGAGAGCCCCGGCGCGGTTTTTACCTTCGGGGAAGACGGCTCGCATTTTCAGGTAGCTGGTGGTGAGGCGGATGATGGACGCCTTGTCCAGCTGGGAGGTGATGGCCGAGGGCAAGGGCAGGAGTTTGGCCAGTTCGTAGAATTCTCCATTTTCTTTTTCCCGTCTAGTCTTTGCCGCGTTCTTGGATTTTTCCTTCATCGCGACTACTGCAAGGCGAGGATGTCACTGGCATATTAGACCCGATTCCTCCGAGTTGCAGGGGGCATGGATTTCGGCGTCAGAGTTAGTGTTTTCGTTTGAGGAAGGGAGAGAGCTCACCCGAATCAAATCAAATCAAATAATTATAATAATAGTAATAATAATAAAGGGAGAGGGGGAATAAAAAGACAAAAAGGGGAGGGAAAAAAAAAAAAAAGCCAAACCAACCAAACAAAAACAACACCAACAGAAATGGTGCGAGGAGGGGGGAGGCGATCTCTGAGCCACAACCGGGATGGGAAAGCCGCTCGGAGAAGGCAGTTCTGCTCTGGCCCTGCAATAGCGAGAGCTTCGAAACCCAGACCGAAAGACCAACGCGAACCTCCGTCCTCTGCCTGCAGCTGGGAATCGGATCTTCTCCTCAACGGGGAGCAAATCACTGGGTTCCCTTCACTGAAGGATTTCTTCTACTCGATCCTTCCCCGTCCAAAAATAATAATTAACAAAAAAAAAATATATTAAAAGTAGAGCGTCCATGCAAGAAATCATTGAGCTAAGCAGGCTGAACTATTTTTGGACATTTTGTCTCTAAAAAAAAAAAAAAAAAAAAAAAAAAAAAACGGAACGACCGCGCTGCTCGTTGAACGAAGTGCAAAATGATCTGGTCCCGGAGCCCGAGATGCCGAGGAGACGACGAGCCCCTCGCTAAGCGAAAGTCGAAGGCGGTGCGGAGGGAGCTGATGGCTGGAGCGCTCCGAAATCACGAGCTCGCATTTCCCTCGGACGCTTCCCTCTCGGCGGGCTGGTCCTGCGGCCGAAGGGCGCTTCCCCCGGGCCCGAGGGGCTCCTCCAGCGCCGGGGCGCGGGGGGTTCCGAGCCCCGCGGGCGGCGGGGCCGGGCGGGCGGCGGGGCTGCGGGCACGGGGGGCTGCGGGGCTGCTCCTGCCGCTCCAGCCGCTGCGCCCAGCTCCAAATGTGGTTCTCATGCGGAGTCAAATTAAAGGATCCGTTTTCCTCGGGACCAGTGCCACTTCAGCGTTGTCTCTTTCCAAACAAGTCCGAGCGCTGGCAGAGGCGCGGGATTGATTTTGTTGCTTTTATTTATTGTAGTTTTTTTTTCTTTTTCCTCCTTTTAAAGACAAAGAATTTGCAAAATCAGGAATAGTTTCTTTTTTTCTTTTTTTTTTCCCCTTTTTTTTTAATTTGTCACTTATTTAAAGAGCAAAGCTGTGGCTCTTTGGCATAGACATGCCTTTCAAAGGCAAGGGGAGGGTTTGCTACATTCACCTCCCGCGAGGAGCAGCGATCCTCACCATACGGCAAGGATCGAAGGTAAAATTCCCCTCCTCTCGGAAATCATAGCCGCCACGCTCCTCGCCTGAAAGCACCGATATCTCCGCTTTTTTTTTTTCCCTCTTTTCTTTCTTTCCCTTTTTTTATTTATTTTTTTTTTCCAGGGGCAGAAGCAGCTCTGAAGTGGACCTCTCGGTTAATTCTTTAGCAAAGGCTGCGGAAAGCCAGGAGAGCCTCAAGAGGGGAGGGGATAATGTATCCGTGACGTGTCCTCCCGCGCAGCGCCCTCCGAGGGACCCAAATACAGAGGAGCCAGAAAAGAGCCGCAATTAGCACTTGCGATGGGACGGGGGGCCGGGCCGGGGGGAGCCGGGGGCGGAGGCCCTTTGCTGTGGCAGCCCGAGCCCGCTACCCCCGACCTCCCTGAGCGGCCGGCGGAGCCTCGGGACCCCCTTGCCCCGTACCCTGCTCTCACTTGGTGCACTGGCCGTGACCCCGAGGGGGCCCCTGGAACCCTCTCCGGGTGGTGGGCACGGAGGGGGGGTGTGGGACCCCCTTTCCCAGACCCACGGCAGCGCCATGAAGTCACCCCAAGCCCTTTTCCCCCGTTCTTTTGGCTCTGGTTAAAAGGTACCTGCGCACCCACAGGTATGCGTGGCTCGTCTGTTCACAAACACGTATATCCCGCGCTCATTTATACTATATATGCACATTTTGCGTATACATTACACGCGTGCGTAAGTATGGATATATATAAATATATATAAATATATACAGGAGTACACGGACAGACGCGCGCACACACGCATTTATACTTAAACACACGCAAATACATTTGCACATACACATATATATTTACACAGACACATTTTTTTATTTATATATTTACACGTGGCCCCTCGGACACGCGGTGGAAGGGGGGCCGAGCTCCGGGGGAGGCGGCGGGCGCAGCCGAGGGGCCGCCCCGTGCCCTCCCCGCCGACAGCCGCTGCTCCACAGCCCCCGACGTGACTCCGGCGGGCCGCCGGTGACCGGGGCTTAACCCCGGAGCCACCGAAACAGCTCTCGGGGGGACGGTGAAGCAAGTCCCGGACAGCCCAGGCTTTGCCGAGCCCCCTCCGTCCAGGCGGCCCGGCAGAGCTCACGGGGCTGTAACCGCAGGGCTCGGGGCCACCTTGGCAGGGGTTGTCACAGAGCGATGCCCGGTGTCCCCTCGCCGCCAGAGTCATGTCCTGAGTGGCGGAATTAACCCCAGCCTGGGCAGGACTGAGCCGGGCTTTGACACGGCCCCGACCCGATGGGAGCCCTTCGCGCTCCGGGGGCACCTCGGCGCTGCCGAGGGGGACACACACCCGCACTTGCGTGTCCCTGTCCCCCTCCATGGAGCACACACACTCATCCCAGGGGGAACAGACCCTGCCCGCGCCCCTCGCAACACCCCCGAACACGTGTGGCTCCAGCATCCGCCGTGCGGGGGGAGCAGGGATGAGGCCGGCGATTAAAGCAGGGAGAAAAGGAGAGAAGGAGGGACCAGCAGAGCGTCGGGCGAGACGCGGCTCCACAACCTCGGACACAGGGAGGGCGCCCAGGGGGATGGGATCGCCCGTTTGCAAAACACAATGCACCGGTCCTTAATATTAATCCCCGGGAGAGGCCTGGCCGGCGGGCGAGTGTGTTTGCTTAAGCTCGCCCGCCCCTCCGTAATTATCCTATTACACCAGAAAGAGCCCGGCCCGGCGGTGCCGAGGGAAAAGGCCACGCTCTTTAACCTCCCCGCCGCCGGCACCCCTGCCCCGGCTCTCCCCGTCTGGGCCACCGCTCCCCGGGGGATGGCGAGTAGGGAGATTCGGTCACCTTCTGCCTTCCCTGCTTGAAATGTGGGGCAAGGAGAGGGCGAGCGGCTCCCCGACGGGCCCTGCCAGTCCGGCCTCTTGCCCCGTCCCAAACCCGTCCCCTCCTGGCTCAGGTACCCGGTCCCGTCCCTCGGCTGACGCGGTTTTTGTAGGGAGGACCGCGGGCATCGGGAACGGACTCCCTGCCCCGCCGTCCTGGCTGGGATTTAGGCTCGAGCTGGTTCCAGGTCAAGGAGACCTGAGCGAAACCCTTGTACCGGCGAGCACGGGGCGATGTGACCCGTTCTACCCTCCTGCACTGCCCTTTTCACCCTCAAAATAGGAGCAACCCTCTACCCCTCTCTCAGGGGTAGCCTCTCTCCTGGGCACTCTTGGAGCAGGTTTGGCGACGGCAGATGTAGCCGGCGATTAAACCCGCCGCTGTATTTTTCTTTTTACGGAAGCGTGTTCCGGCTGAGACTTTTCGCCGAGCAAAACAAACCTAAATTAATCTAGGGGGAAAAAAAAAACCCCGAAACCAAAAACAAAACACCCGTCGAAAAGAAACTTCAGCCTTACGGGGAAATTCTCAAAATTCAATGCAACCTCCGCCCACCGTCGAAACTGGACGCATTAACAGAGGTAAAAAAATATATATACCGGGGAAATATATTATATATATATGTGTGTGTGTAAAATTAGCTATATATCAAGGCAGATCCTAAGGGGTCCGACACAACGAGCTCTGCGATCGCTGACCCCGAGAAGGAAACTATATGGGACATTTCTGCGTCCTGTAAACAACATATAGGAACGAGCGACTGGGTGGCAAAGGAAAGCGTGAGGGGAGCATGTTCCGTTTCTAACAAATTACGGTGGTTTGGAGAAAGGGCAGGTTTGCGAATGTTTTCAACATAATCCCGGCTGAAAAAGAAAAATCACGTTGCTACAAGGGTGGCCCGAACCTATCGAGGGGGATTCGCGGTGTGGAACTCGGTGAGTCAGAGGTGGCTGCGGGGACCTTCCGGCAAGGGCTTCCCCCCGACCATTTGAATAAAAAACACCACGCCAGGGACGAAAATAAATAAGGACAATAAATAAAACAATAAATTATTTTAATTTTCGGACCGTGTTTTCACTGATGCGTTAATGTTGAATGATAAATCGGACGCGAGCAAACCCCGCTGTTATTTAACATTTCCCCCCGGGTTGGAGGGGAAAACTTCACCGGGTGGGAGATAAAGGGAAAGCGTTTCTGTCCCAGGTGAGCTGCGTTGCAGGGGGATATTTCTCCTTTCTTTCCCTTCCCAGGGAGGGAAACAGAGAGGAAAACGAGGCGTGAGAATAACTCCCCAGCACCCCCAAAACAAACTCTCTGAGCAGCTTCCTTGCACCGCCCGGCACCCAGCGCTGGGCACAAGCCCCAGGGGCTTATTTTGCGCCGGTGCGCGGAGCGGAATTCCCTAAGGAAAGGCTCAAAGAGTGGGGGTACAACGTCTGTTTTGGGGTTTTTTTTGGCGATCCTGCCAACAGCACCTTGCAGGACGGGGGGCACACGCGGGACTCCCGTCCCGTGGGCAGTGGAGTGGACAGCCCCGCCAGCTCTCCCTTCCCGTTCCCTGCCCTGCCGGGAACCGGGAGGAATTCCAGGGGCGCTCCCGCCGAGCTTTGCAGGACTCGGCGCGTTTCGGTGCGGAGAAAGGGCCCGGGCAGGGGCAGGCGGCGGGACGGGGGTTGCCGTCCACTCGTGTCGGTGGAAGTTGTCCCGGAGCGCCACGCTTCCAACTCTTGGCACAAAACACCTTTGCAGGGCCGTGGCTTTGGCGTTCCCGGAGTTTTCCTGCTTTTCTCGCTCTGCTGCGCTCGCACATAAAACACCCGCGGTGGTGGATGGGTCGAGGCTCGGGGAATCGGGGCTGCGGGGCCAAGCGCAGCGCCGGTCTTAACTTTAGTCTGATGTGCTTAGCTGAAGTATTAACTGTGAGAAATACCACCGAGCTCCACAGGAAAGAAAATATCATCAGATATTTTAACATTCGCGGTCTGCAACATCAGCAGCACTGCTACGAGCTCAAGAGCCAGCGGTGCTTATCGTCCCCGGGAGGAATCCCCCGTATTTTGTTTTCCCTGTAACTACTGTTCCCAAGTGTGGATGTACGCACACCCCCGCTCACACACACAAATCCTATAAATGCTAATAAAACAGATTCCTCGGGATTTGTTTAACTTTCCCTGGCACCACCATCACATATTGATATTCAGTGGGGTTACTGGTGTGCACGAGGATTACTGGTGAAGTGTGTAGGACCACGGGATCAACCTTCTAGGGTGCCACTCGGACATGCCCCTACAAACGAGCAAGGTAGGAAACTGTAAGCGCTGGCAACACGATTAATTTGCACTGAACACTTGAAAGGAGAAAAAAGGAAGTTAAATCTCGGTGCTCGAATTATTGAACTATGCAGAATCGAGGCCTCCGGTTGCAGGGGATCGTTTTCAGCTCTTTACTGGGAGCTGTATCGCTGCTATTGTCCAAACCTTTGCTGCCCACATGGGACCGCGCTTGGCAATAGGACAGAAAATTATTTCTACTGGGCATGAACTGGAAATATCCAGCTGGGGCATGGATCCCATTTCTAATCAGAGTGGAGGGGAGGAAATCTCAATGCTCTTGCTTGTTACTCAGGG